AGTTTACAACCGTCATATACACTAATGTTGGAAATCCTGTCGCTACTGACATGCACAAAGAACTCAGGGGAGGGTGGTCCGACCCCCTCAGCCTTAAAAAAAACGAAATAGGTGGGCCACCTATTTCCGACCCCCCCCCACCCCTCCCCCCCTTAAGGGGGGGGGCCGTCATACATACATGCGTAAAAACGGTGGTCGAGCTGGCGTTCATGTAACATGTGCAGGAATTCTTTGTCAGTAGTTTTAGCAGAAGCAGCCGTGGCAGCGGCGGATGCGGCAGTCGCACTGACGGCAGCAGTTGCAGCAGCTACACCAGCAAGTGCAGTAGCAACCGCATCAATTAGTTGTCGTGTTTCTAGCGCTTGTAGAACCAGCTCCGGCACCAGTGGACATGAAAAACATTGAAGCAGAAGTGGCGCTAGTGTTTTTGGTGTTGCGGTTGCGACGCAAATGTACGCTGTGGGTAAGCATGTAGCGCTGCATCCTCGAGCGGCTTCAACCCTGAACTTTCATTCAGACCGGGTGTCCGCTCTGTACGAGCACATAACAATTTCACTCACGGCAACGACGCCTTGCCCCATAATATGCATATCTCGTCAAAAAATATGTTTAGGTGCTGTTTGGGGATCCCACAGCCCTTGTCAGCATTTGCCGGCAGGATATGGCGCCTACTTCGGGCGCTGAACCTGGCCGACACATTGAGGTGCAGTGACGTGGGTTCATGTACAGTTGTGGGTTCATGTGCAGTCGTTTTTGTTGTATGAGTTGTGCACGTCGGAAAACGGTTTCGAACACATAGCGATGTAATGAAAAACGCAATGTAGCACGCGTGCCGCTGATTGCCGCTGCTTCATTGCATGGGACAGGATATTGGTGGCGCTGTGGATCGCATACTCTTTTGGGCGGGCAGCCCTCCGACGTGCATCGGGCCGCTCGGGTCAGCATGAGCTTCTGAGCAAGGCAATCATTACTTAAGCAATGTTTTTGTAATTGTGCGGCACAGAAAGGGTGATTCTTGCTTTCATCAGACGCAGCTGCAGCCTGAACCAAGAGAGGGTGACTCAGGCGTCACCGGTGGTGACAAGCAAGGCGGTCGGCGGCGGCGCCGACCGACCACCCCGATCGGCCCTGACGAAACTTTGGGCGAGGCAGGTGCATTGCACCTGATTTATGACGATTGCTCGTGTTTCTAGAAGTCTTCGGCATTGGACACGGCAAGAGCTTGTTTCAGCAGGACATTTTTTCGGACCTTACGGCCAACCGTTGTTTGGAGCATCTTGGCTGCTTAACACGACTGGAACTTTGACAACATGATTCTTGGCTGTTGAATGCTCAGGCTAACATCCCGACTGCCTGGCAGCATTGCCAAAATTTTCCGGCAATCTGGAGATGGTGAGGGTTGGTCCGGTTTTTGCTCAGCACCTCGGCATGGTCCAATCGTGTTTTCGCAACATGGGGCCTCGCTGGTCATAGTTCTCAGCTCAGCGGATGAACACCCCTTGCGACCACGCGAAGTCCACGTGACACTCCGACGTGGCTCCAGCCACAGTGTGCAAAAGTGAGTGTCTTTCGACCCGCCAGGTCAAGCATGCTTTTTTGTCGCACCGGAAGTCTCTAAGCATCGTTGTTTTCCATTATGAGACCCGCAGGCCCCAATTTGCATCTCACGCCCTGGTTTAATCGTGAGTGTTGTGATGCATTTTGTTGATGTTTCCAGTCTGCATCCTGAGATTGCGCATCCCAAACTTACGGAGCTTTAGTTTTGGTAGAGTCCTTCTACTGTCTCGTGTGTTGCCTTTTGAATATCAGCTGCTGAAAGGAGTACCTCAGCCAAGTATTCATAAATGAACGATTTTGCTTGACTAACCCGTGCCGCCTGCCTACCACTTCAACCCACAGCCTTTGTCCCCAAGCTTTGCCCGAAACTGCCAGTGTTGCACCATTTGCACCCCGAAAATTCACAACCGAGTCCTGCAAACCTGCTTTCTTAGGTGGCTTTGCATGTAAGTGTTTCGGTGGGGCTTCCGCTGGAAGCAGCGTCGATTTCGGGGTTTTCCTTTTGAAAATGAAGGCCAATGCAAGCACTGTTTGCACGAATAATGTGTTTCTTAACGATGAGGTGTGCAAGAGGCCGCTGGAAGTGACTTGGCAATCAAGCATGTTCGGAACGTTTGCTCGGGGGTCTTTTGGGAGGTTGGTTGGTTGTTGGGTTTGTGCGTTTACGTTCAGGTTTGGGGCTGATGACCCGGATGCCAAAAGGATGGATGAGTTCAGGGGCCGTGTCGAGTTTGCAGACGCACGAACTACCAGTCGTGATTCCGGCAAAGGTCAAAATCGTGGATCGCAGCCGTGCTCAGCGAGCGAACGAGGTTCGGGCCGTCAGATACGAGTTCAGATACGGTTGCTGTTCGCGGTGTCAAGACTGTAACCGTCAATCACACTCACTGGCTGGTTGCCTACATCATACTGAAAGTACACATGTTCGAGGGCATGTCCCGCATGCGTAATTCAGATGCTTTACAACGCTGCATCCCGGCCGTACCGGTGGTTCAACATCTACTATGCCACCCAGGTGGCTCCACATCGGCGCGGGCGCTATGCCTTCGTAATTTGCTTGTGGGGCTCTTCCAAGGACACTCGCTTCCTGGCGCAAGCTTGTAACGACGGAGATGCCCTCCGACTAGCCGAGCTTGCAGTGCAATGGGCATCGGTTGCACAAGCACGGCAGCCATCTTAAACCTTAAGCCGCAACCCATACTTGGAGCCGATTGCTTTGCCTACCTTGAGGGGTGGGTATGTATATATATATATATACATATACATATGTATATATATATATATGTATATTATATATATATATATCTCTCTCTCTCTCTCTCTCTCGAAAGTCAGTAGAGTCCATTGATTGCCAGGACTATGTGCTTGGCGCCTTGGTGCTGGGAAGCTCGGATCTCGAGTAAGATCAAATCCTGTCATGATCATGGAAGAGTGTTTTAGCTTGAAGGTTTGAGGTGCACTTGTGTCATGAAGTGCAACTGGCCGCAATAAAGGAACACGATTACTAGTTTATCATGTCGACCCCGATACTGGTGGCGGGCATGAGCCGCCTTTCAAATTGCACACTCCCATCTTCAAGGTTCGCGCATGATCTGGCTGGCAATGATTTGTCGCTTCTAGACCAGTGAGGTTCTAGAGCCCAAGCTCCTGGGTCAAGAGGGTTTCGGCCTTGACTTCCGGGTTGTACGTTGTAAGTCAAGCAACTTCAAGCATGCAGGCCCCATCTTGAACCCCGCGCATGATGAAGCAGCGAATGCGATGCGATGAGTTGGAATGTGAAACCTGCGATGTGGATGCCTCACAAAGTTCCCTGTTGTCGCACATGCTGTGGAAGACCTCATCGATGCATTGTCAGATGAACATCAGACAGCCCATTTCGAGGAGCACCGGGGTTTCGAAATGATTGCTGTTTGCAATGCGGCAAGATTCGGCAAGATACAGTCTCGGTACATCCCGCTTCTCCTCCTCCTCCTCCTCCGACCTCTCCCCTCCCAGCAATTCAGGATATTCCATCAAGCGGACCAAGACGCAGAACACATTGGTTTGTCTGCATGCCGACGATGTTCCGCCAGAGTATGCAGCCTTGGCTGAATCTTGCTGTGTTGTGCACCGCGAGAAGTGATCCGTTTCAACAGGTTTGCAACAGCACATGTTTTCGTCAAGTGGTCGCGAGTGCTATTTCTTGGAGGCGGCCAAATACCCCTAAGGTTGAGCTGCTGCAGTTGTTTTGGGAATGCCGCGTGGTGGACCATATCGAGGCTCATTGCCAGTGCAACGTTCAGTCGAGCTTTTGCCGTCATTCGGTTGTCTGGGCTTTTGTCTCTGCAGCTTGCCACTGTGCTGGCATTGTTGATCTACACCTTAGGTCAGGACTTCACCTCGACACCTGCCCGCTTCATCATTCTATGGCCAACAAAACCTAGGATATGTAATATAGGGGCGCAAGGCATCGTCCACATGCCGTTCGTGGCCAGGTGAAAGCAGCCCGGAGACTTAGCACGGATGATGCTCTGGCCGCACCCTAAAGCAAAACAGACGACCCGAGCATAAACCCCAAATAGCAGCTTCCTTGGCTATCAAGAGCTCCTGCAGAATCAATCTTCCTTGGGGATTCCCATAGCGCCAAAGAGGCACACACACACACATCTTTTTGTTTAAGCCCAGACGGAAAACTGCAGGCAGGTACCTATATTTGGCGCCTTAGAGTCGAGATGCAAATCTAGGGGGGCCTCGAAAAGCATTGAGAGAGGTGCAGGTCGAAGTCATGTTTTCGGGTTTCAGAGTTTACGGGTTAGGGGTTTAGGGCTTCAGGGGCTCCAAGCCCGGATGCAAAAAGGGTTTTTATAAAAATCTTGAATCCTAACACCCGATACCCTAAAAGCCTTTAAAACCACAAAAGATCCGAGGACTACATCGAGGAGTCGAGGTTTTTCAAAGTCTTTACGAAGCTTCGCGCGCTGGAGCAGACAGACTTTGAGAAGGCGACTTTGGGATTTTGGTGTTACGGGGCATTTGGGGTTTTAAGATGTTGGGGCTTTAAGGTTCTAGGGTGACTGGTGGCCCAAAAGCACCAAAGACTCTGTGTAGATTCCCGAGGTTTGGGGACCTGAGGACTCAGCAGACGCAAAAAGGTAGTGCTTCCCAGGTTGTAAGGGCCATGTTGAGATGATATAGGTTGGTTCTATGGTACATGATAGTTCTTATGGGACTGGTTTATAGACTTATTATGAGTTGTTGTATGAACGCTCTAGGGTTGTAGCATGAGGGCCGTGACCTGTGCAGGTTCTCGTCATGGACATCGACTTGTTAGCTTCTTGGCTTTTGGTGCTGCATTCTTTTTTCTTGGGGCCAAGTGCGGTCTGTGTGGTACTGTAAGGTGGTGGTGTTGGTAGTTGGAGGCAGTCGCAGGAGCAATGTCTTTGAGCTGGGAACATTCAGACTGCCAAGGTGCTGTCCAACATCGACGACTTGTTCCAGTTCCCGGCTCCAGCTGGAATGAAGCGTGGGATGAACAAGGGCCGGTGGCCATACAAGCACGGCCGCTCGGGGGCAGATTCGGAGTTTCAAAACGAGGGCGCTGTGGTTCCGGCTGTTGTTGCATTGCAAGTTATTGCAGGCCAATCCTATCGGTAGGGTTTGCTTCGGCTGTGCATTCTCCGACGCAGTTGTGGGAACCCTTGACGCAGGAAACCTCGAAGATTTTCAAAGGACCCGCGCCAGTATGGAAAGCTGAAGCCCTGCGTGGGCTCGAGGCATCACCTCAATGGAATCCCGAAGCTCCCAAGAGAACTGCAATAGTCGAAGGGTGCAATACCATAAAGACCCGACAAGGACGTCTAAAGTCCCTAAACCTTGGCTTAATCCCAAAGCATCTACGAAGGTGACGATATCGACGGCAACACGCTCTTGGGCTGCAAAGTTGTTAATATAGGGGCCTGATTTATTGCCAACTTACTACTATTCCTTAAAGTTCCTAGTGCAAGTATAGTGGTACACACCCCCAAACCTATTCCAAGTATTACGGCCCCTAAACTATAGAACCCTTTCAAGGAACCCGTGTAGGACCAATCTTCTGATACACGTTGGCAATAAAGGTATGTGTAGTGCAAGAGTCGAAAGAGTTGCCAATACTGTGCCCTTACATTCCTTTTCAAAACTATATCATAATCTGAGTTCAATGTTCTTCCCTCATATTCCCCAAAGTAACTATACCAGAATGACATAATGTAAGTCAAGGATCCTGCTGTTTCTCTGTCGGGTCGGATCGGGACCTGGTGGATTTCGGGCTTTCGGGAAAACGTGTGCAGTCTATAAAAAATGTAAGTTCCCTCGGTCTGGTGGGGGTCTGCGATGATTTTGATGTGGCGGCCCGACTAATTAAATTGCCAATATTGTTCCATCACAAGTGCTGCTGGTGGCCTTAGCTTGGCACTCAGGGCAGAGGCCGAGCCCTTTGTCAAACCAATCTACTCTAAGTTAGGGTAGTCTACTCTGAAAACCTATTCCATTATTCACGTCCAAAATTGCAATCTTGAGTCTTTCCAACTCCAGTCCGCAGTTTAAGGTTTATGGGCAAAGCGAGTCGCATGTAACAGTTTCGGTTGGTGCCGTCCCAAGAACAGGATTCGGTTCCTGCCTGCGCCTTTTGAACACGGATCTTAGTGATTGTCTTAAATGTGGCCTGCCAGGGGTGGCCCAGTAGTCGGGAACACGGCCAAATCAGGCCCGAAACAGCATCCGAGAGACCGGGCAGGAAATGTGCCCTGATTCTTGGGTTGTTGCACATTGGCATCTACCCGAAACCCTCAGTTGTTGGCAGCCATCTTCACAGGGTCATCCCTGAGCAGCCAGGTTCTTCGGAGGTCGCAACCCAGGCAGTGCGCACTCTTGGGGTCAAGGCCGGATGTAGGTTAGCGGTTAGGCCTTAAGGTTGGCAGGTGCGAAAGGGCTTTGGTAGAAGTCTGAGGGGTCACCACCCAAGGGCCCGCAAGTCTCTCCTCACGACGAGAAAGTACCCATGCTGCTGCTCCTCGCCTTAGTACCCCTACTCCTACTTCTATACTACTGCTGCGGCTGCGGCAACTAACTAGCACGATTGATGTTCTTTCTGTCTTGTGACTAATCCTACTGCTGATGCTGCTACAATGAGTACTGCTGCTGCTGCTGCTGCTGCTACTACTACTACTACTAGTACTAGTACTAGTACTAGTACTAGTACTAGTACTAGTACTAGTACTAGTACCAGTACTACGACGACGACGACGACGACGACTACTACTACCACCACGACCACCACCACCACCGCCGCTGCTGCTGCTGCTGCTACTACTACTACTACTACTAGTATTGCTTTTGCTACTACTAGTGCAGCGCGATCTAAACGCATCAGCGCATTTGTGTAGACAGCCAATGGCAAGAAGGGGATAAGAGTGATAAGAGCATGTGAGGCAAAGGAGCAAATCTTTGGAAGGTGCCCAGAGCATTTAAACAAAGTGGCAAAACGTTCGAAAGGCACTAGAGTAGCCGAGAAAAAGGATGGAAGAGCGTTTGAACACAGGGGGACTAGAGCAAGTGAGAGAAGGGAGCAAGCCGCTCGGAAAGGGATCGGAGCGTTTGTCAAGAAGGAGCAAACCGCTAGAAATGGACTAGAGCATTTGAAAAAAGGGGCATGCCGCCCGAAAGGGATAAGAGCGTTTGGGCAACAAGCCAACCGCTCGAAAGTGTTCGGAGCTTTTGAGAACAACGGGAAAGCCGCTCGAAAGGGATTGGAATTGTTGAGAGAAAACGAGCCAACATAGCGAAAGGAATAAGAGAGCATGTGAGACAAAGGAGCAAGCCGCCCGAAATGGACTTCGAACAGAGGGAGCAAACCGCCCGAATGGGACTAGAGCATGTGAGAATTTGGAGCAAACCGTTCGAAAGGGACTGGAGCATTTGAGATCATGGAGGAAACCGTTTGGAAGGGACGAAAAGTTTGAAAAGAAGGAGCAAACTGCACGCGCACGACTAGTGACTAGAGCATTTGACAGAACAAGTTGCAAGCCAGTCGAACCGGACTGGCGCATTTAACCGCTGAGAAAAGCGAGCCAAGCGCTCGAAAGGGACTAGACTACATGCGGCAAACAGGAGAAATTGGTAGGCATTTGGGAACCAGGAGCAGGCCGCTCGAAACGGACAAGAGCATTTGAGCAAGAGGAGCACTGTTGGCAAGGGACTAGGGCAATTCAGAAACAGAAGCAAACCGCCAGAGAGCGCTTGGGACAAAGGAGCATGCCGCTCGAAGGGGACAAGGGCGTTTGAGGAAAGGAAGCGACCGCTCGAAAGAGACTAGAGCAGAGAATGGAGCAAACCATTTGCGAGGAACAGGAGCATGTGAGAGCAAGGCCGCGCCGTTCGAAAGGGCTTAGAAGCGCATCTGGGAAAAGGGCATTTGAGAAGAAGGAGCCAGCTGCTAGACAATGCAAAGAGGCTCGAAAGGGATTAGATCCTTCAAGAACGAAAAGCAGCAAAACGCTTAGAGCATTTTGGAAAAGCGAACAAACCGCTCGAAACGGACTTAAGTGTTTGAGAAAAACGGAGCAAACCGCTCGAAAGAGGTTGAGCCGGAAGCACCTCTTTCGGAAGGGACTAGAGCATTTGAGAAAATAAGGCCAGCCTCTCGAAAGCCATTAAAGCGTTTGAGAGAGGAGGAAACTGGGCAATCCGCTCGAAAGCCAAAAAGGCATCTGAGAGAGAGGAGGAAACCGCTGGTGAGGGACCCGAGAGTTTGCGAAAAAACAGGAGCACACCACTCCAAAGGGACTGGGGCATTCGAGAAAAAGGAGCAAACCGCTCGGAAGAGACTAAAGCATTTGGGAGAAAGGAGCAAACCCAGGGACTATAGAGCATGTGAGGAGAAGGAGCGCGCTCGAAAGGGATTAGAGTCTATTAGAGCAGAGCGTTTGAGAAAGAGGAGTAGTAATTAAGCCGCTCGAAAGGGACGAGCATTTGTCAAGAAGGACCAGGCCGCCCGAAAGCGATGTAGAGCATGCGAGAAAAGGAGCAAGCCGCTCGAAAGGAGCGTTTGAAAAAAGGAGCAAATCGCTCGAAAGGGACTGGAGCGTTTGAGACCATGTAGGAATAAGGAGCACGCCGCTCGACAGGGACTAGATAGAGCATGTGCCAGATCTACTCTTTGTCGATTCGTAGATATAGCGAGACTGAAATCAGACACTGTAACAGTGATTGGAAAAGGAACAGGCGCCAACAGGTGCAAACACCCAGAATTGCCCAGAATGATAGATCCGAGCTTCGTCTGCCTTCCGATTTCTTCACCGGCTCACCGGCTCTGAACCTTCAATACAGCCTACTTGTGCAAGCCCCACCATAGCCTAAACTAGTGCCTAAAGTCGGGTTTGGTGCGAATTTCAAGTTCGTCCCAGTGCATAAATGTCCACGTAGGTGGCGGGGATCAGCAGCTACCTGACCAGGAACCGGCATCAACGCGGGGGTGATGCTGCTCGAGCCCAATGCTGCCGAGTTCCAGATCATGCAGGTCAGACGGTCAGGTGTTATTCTTTAAGTGGCAGATGATTGTACATGTAAGCATTTTGCATGTCAGCTCCTTGTATTCTCATGCCAGCAAGCTCTTTCACAGCCCCGAAGGATAAACTCTAAACCTACTAGGATCGTGGCGGACAACACGCTGAACCCCTCCCTCCTAGATTCGCTCATGCTTCCTCCGGGCCATGCCAAAGGGCCACTTTCTGCAACACTTCAAGGTCAAGCTCCAAGCTTGATTCAGACTGTAACCTGTCTTCTTCCACGCCGAAGTTCAACTCTGAAAGTTTATAAGAAAGACTTGGGCATCTGATAGTTGGATTGAAATTTTGGGACAGCCGTGAACTTTGAAGCTACGGAAAAATGTGCCGGCTAGCCTCTTCCCACCCAGCTTTTCGCGGCATCCCAGAAATGTCTTGTATGCGTTTGCAGCTTCAGCTTCACACCCTTCATACCGAGATTGATGCATTCTTGTGAAATCTCTTGATTGGAAGTACGAGGATCCTAAACAGGAGGGTGGGACCTCGAGGAATGCATCACTCGCTACGGGTGACGTATCCCTACCTTCGAATGACTTCCAATGTGTCTTAGAGTTGTGAATCTGGGATAGTTAGGATTAGAGCATCAAGATCTTGGAGTTGTTGGGGTGCATCGTGGGTTAACGCATTTACTTTCAGCATATCCTTTGTGTTGGTCCCGCTTCATGGACTCATAGCTCCCTGTCTTGCTACGAGCTAAATAGACAGCCACTTGAAGCCCAAAACGCCCGAAAGCCGAGCTTAGATTTGCCCTACACCACCTTAAATCTGAACTCTGCGAACCCTGCCGTCACCTTCACTGGGAGTAGGTGCAGGAAATCCAAAACCCCTTGCAAGAAAAACCCGGGACCGTGTGGGAGGAGGAACTTCTGGAGCCTTACCATCCAGCACATGTCCGCGGAAATGGACCCGAACAGGCATGCTTTGCGACATTTTGGGTTCGTGGGCTGCAGTGGAGCGAGGTGTTTCGGGTTTTGGGTCTTCAGGGGTGAGAGATAGCCATGAAAGCAGCGTCGCATGGACACCGCATAACATGGGATGTGTCGAATAACCCTGTGCGCACTGGCTTCAGCGGTGTGTCCTCAGACTGCCTCCGTGCGCAAGTGCTCAGAAGCGAGCGAACCCAGGGCTCGTTGCTGCATGGTATTGCTGGGTATTGAAGCGATCGCAAGCCTCGATGTTTTTTTATTGCGGTTATGATGGTGATATTGGTGGTCATGATGATAGCGAAGGTGATGTTTTCGAAGCGCTAGTGTCCGATTGAGCAGCTACTGTGGCCTGCAATGGCCGATCTGTCTGTTCCAGCATTGAAACCTCTGTAGGCCTCTGGTGGAATCGTGGCTCCCTCGCAGCCAATCTGGCAGGACTACCTGAGCCGGTTCTGGGCCGACCGACCCTGGCGCCATATCTCAGTTGCTGAGCTTGGTTTCGATGCCATGTTTATCTGCTATCGTAGCCGTAGTAGAAGTAGCAGGAGCAGGAGCGGCAGTAGCAGCCGGAATGGTGTGGTAGTGGTGGTAGTAGAAGAAGAACTAGTAGTACTAGTTGTTGTTGTGGTTGTTGTTGTTGTTGTTCTCATTCTTCTTGTTTTTGCAGCAGCCGTTGTAGTGTGTCGTCGGTCTCGAAGTATCAAGGGTCCGGCCGCAGTCTCATCAGAAGTTAAGTGGTTGGGAAGGGAAGCTGAGGGATCGTGCTGGGAGATAGCAAGGTCGAGTACAACGAACAGACCCGGAGCCGAGGTCGAATACAACTACCAAATCCATCATCTCTACAACGCCCTCCACCCAATGCTCGGTGATGTGGAGCGGCTTAAGGCTGCTTTCTGTTATTGCATTTTTCAGTTCGGGGACAAAAGGGTTCAGGATTGTTCTGATATTGCATCCTCCTCTTTGCACGGCCTGGTAGGTACGGGACCTTCTAGGGCTTGGTTGTAGCCACTGTTGACCTCGGCCGCTGCTGAGTCTTCGCAATGCCTTGGGCAGAGGAGCTGAACTGGCCTAACCATAGACGTGGCTGGAATGCCTGAGCTGCAGTCAGAAGGACACTCACGTTGGGTCGTTTTGACAGTAGAACAGAATCCAGCCTTGACGTGCATGAACTTTGATGGGCGATCGGCTCCAAGGTAGGAATGTCCGCAATAACAATTCGATCAGGATCTTGGCTTTACGGAAGTGGTTTCATGTCGGATTCGTGTTTCAGCTTTGTGCTCATGTTGGAAACTGTGCAGGTGGCACAGAACTGCAAGAGCATCCGCGTCATTCACTACTCCGGAGCACTTGGGCTCAACGCATCCGTTGCAGTTAGGATCAAGCGCGAACTTGTATCCCGTACTTGTCGATGTGAAATAAATAAATTGCTCCGGAAGCAGCGGTTTTTCGGTTCCGGAATCAGGTTTCATGACTTGAAGTCTTTCTCGATTTCGTTAGCATGTGGCTGTAAAGTGCTTGTCTTTCCAACACAGACTAGCATATCCTCGCAGTCATGGTGTCTCTGCAGAGGGCCCCATGTTCACAGTAGGCTGTGTATGTTTGTGTGCAATGCTTTCTGGTCGTTTGTGCTCTTGGTCGTCGCATTGGGCAGGGCAGGACTGTGCACATGACAGAACCAGCCCTAAACCCTAGTGGCCGTAGTGCTGTCAGGGGGAGACGAGACCACAATCAGAAGACCTGCCGAGGATTCGGAAGTGAAGCCCTGGACACGATGCTTGGACACCTGGCGCAGATTTCGTTGTCCGCGACATTTCAGCATCCCAGTGTCCATACATCATTATCTCACTGTTGTTTATCTTCACCCCGTTACTGTGCACGATCACGAGGAATCTAAGAAGGTGACGGTAGTGATGAAGATGATGATAATGGTGTGAGGGTGAAGGCCGTCATGGTGAGGTACACTTCCTGTTTCTTATGCGTGTGTAAGACTCATTGCCCGGTTTGTGCACACAAGCTTTCGTATGGGTTTCGCTCATTCGGAATGCTACATTGTGGGGGCGGTTTGATTTCTTTTTGGCGAAGCTTGTGGTGTGGCCCGGGTGCTCTCAAACCCCACACGCTATCAGTCACGACCCCCAACACCGCCATCCCTCCGTGTGCCCTCAAGCCGGGGCGGTCTGCTAATGTGCCATTCTTTGTTGAAGGCCCGTACAGCCTGTAAACTCGCAAAGCCGACACGCCGATTCCATCGTTATTTACAGTGTTTTCGTCACTTCATGTGCCGAATATATCGGTGGCGTCG